AATGCGTCCGTTTATAGGCAATTTTTGTCAGTTTCTACTTGAATAATCGGCCAAATAATTGCACCCTATTGGGATCAAATGATAATACGAGAGAAAACAGAGAGAGAGAGAGAGAGAGAGAGAGAGAGAGAGAGACAGAGACAGAGAAATAATTATTCCTCTGAGCGATCTAACTGTGCATTAAACGGTTCATCGACAATGCATTTAAATAGACGGCGCAAACAAATGAGCGAATTGGTGCGCGATCGAACGCGTGCGAATGCCCGGCCGTTCACGATTGTTCGGACAATTAGTTGAACGGATAATGCCAGGTGAAGCAAGAGTCCTGACACGAAACCGAATTTATGTGTGACTTCTAGGTCACGTACAAGTTGCATATTCCCTCCGAGGCCACAACAGAATTTATCCGCGTCGGAGAATGCGTGTTCTGCGAGACAGCCGCCTCTGTCTTCGTAAACTTTGGCATAACGCGAATCTGTCGTGACTCGTCGAGATATCGATCTATTGAAGGTACCAAAGTACGATGGATTTAAGAGTTCGCAAACGAGCGTTCCGACGATAGTTTTGCGATCCGAACTTTGGCGTCCGAGAGAGAAGAGCGCGTACAATATAAATTACTCGGAAAATATATCTAAGAACGACCGGGAAGAATTATTGTTCCGCTGATTCATCGATAACTATAGGTGTATACCGTTCTTTCGTCGAGTTGATAATGTATATGTATGTACAAGTGTCCTCGTTTTTAGACGACATCCTATAATCAGAGAACAGTATCACGAACACATATGCATAGGTGGGCATCAATAATAATTCCTACCGTCTCCCGCCTAGTCATTTTGCATCGTACTTTCCGTGTCACTGCATCCTGTGGTCATAATTCTTGCAAACATTGTAAAATTCTTCTTTACAATGTATATGCATATGGCAAAGTCTTATCGCGATTAAATGTAAAATCTGAGAATGGACAGACTTATATCATATGTGCATCGAATTAAATTTTACAAAAGTTTTGAAAGAATGTCTCTCTTTTTCTCCCTTCTTTTTCTTCTTGTATCTAAAATATTTCTTTAAATATAATATATGATATTTTTCATTTGATTTCTTTAAATATTTACACACAAAAATATTTGGAATTCAAAGCGGAATTTACAAATGTTGCACCTATATATTCACTTACAATTAAATGTAACATAACTAATAGTCGTAATGATATATATAATCTTCTTATATTATTTTTTATAATTTTTTCGAACATATTTTAATATTCTTTATTTATCTTTAATTATCTTTATTTAATCTATAACATTATTAAATTTTTGTATCTACATGTCTCAAAATATATAAAACTTTGATAAGATTTTTTAAAAACGTATATTTGAAACTACTTTTATACATACACACATACATACAAAATGCATATAACATATGATAAATGCTTTTATAATATAAATAATATAATAATAATTGTATTGAAAAAATATTTGATCGGAATTTACATAATCTAATTGAGAGCAATAATTAATTTAATTGAGAGCTAGATTTATGACATTTTCATAACAACATGGACACGAGACAAAACTTTCTTTTACACGTGTGTAATTTACAAAAGCTATTCGGAACCAATGTCTTCAAAAACGATACTCTAAAAGCACGTGCCGCTGGCGGTATGCGTTTTCTGTCTTCCTCTTTCTCTCTCCCTTTCTCTAATTTCTTTCTCACTATATAGATAATCACGATCAGAGAATAGACTGCGCAGTCTAGTCTGCGTGGTGTAATATCAAATAATAATAGTAATAATAATAATAATAATAGTAATAGTAATGATAATAATAAGAGAAGTAATAATAATAATAATAATAAGTGCAAACACAGGGATAATAATCGCGTTTAAGTCGCCGCTCAACGTCTGATTGGCGCCTCTATACGATCGTCGTCCACTCGGCGCGTGCAGTTGCACCTGTCAAGCACGAGATGCGCAGGCGCTCAGGTGCTACGAACTGCCGTACGGAGGTAAAACGACGCGCGGTCGAGCTTTCGTAGTCGGCATCGGCCATCCGCGACGCGAACTTTCACCCGGACGATGGTCCCGCGCATGCCGCGGCGCCACTTACAAAGTTGTCGCGCGTGTAAGTGAAGCAGACGAGGAGAATATTTTCTCTTCCCGGATATTGTGCGAAAGAATATATACAACGCGAGTCGCGACGTCGACTGAGAAATGTGCAATTGACTTTGGAACTCGGAATGCGTTAATCCCTCGGGACTTTGGTCTCTCTGAGACTTGGCATCGTCAGTGTGCAGTTTCCCTTGGCGTAGCGAGGAGATGGGAATTAATTTCAAGTGGAATTTCTACGTTTCTCCTTCGGATAATTGACTTGCACGCGCGCGCGCGCGGATATGTATCTCCTTCGCGAACGGTGAACGCGTACGGATGAATCAAAATCGTCGCGTCGCGTCGAGTGCCGGCGTTGATTTCATTTATCCCAATCGCGCGCCTACGGGCGAACGCGTGCACGCGAATGGAAAAACCGTTTGGAAAAACACAAGCTGCGGGCGACAACGAGCGGTGCTATCTCTAATTTTAATTTCACCGGCCGCTGCCGCCAGGGTTCCGGCCGGTATATAAACCGCATTCGCGTTTTCGGCCGCACTCGATCGCGCGATGAAACCAGCCGGCCGGAAGAGTTTCGATGCTGTCCCCGGAATTGCGGCGAGCCGCTCTTAACCCGGATCGGGTCGCGAAGGTAGGCTGAAAACCGCGACAGCGCGCCCGACTCGCAGCCTCAAATCGCCCAGCGACGCGAATTAATGTGCCCGCGCGGGGTTCAAAATAAACGCGGTCACGCTAAATTTCAATACCGATCAGAGGCACGATTGCAAATTGCACGAGTCTGTAACGTATATCTAGCATACTGATGCATAATACATGCACGTCAGAGTATTAATCGAAGCCGCCGGGAATCGGTTAACATTGTGAATAGATATGTGATACAAAATGAACACGATTTCACAAAATCTCGATTAATTGGAATCTCGATCAAGTTAATGCATTTTACTCATATGTAAGATATCCACAGAATTAATGGAAATCACGTATATACGTGCACGCAGCAACACATATATAGTAAATTCTTAATATTATTTTGTGAGTCAATCAACAATATATAGTATTGAAATATATGCGATTCGCAAGAAATACAGTATCACAAATTTGCGATCGATTGAAAGCCTGAGCTAACCTGTCTATCATAACATTATACATGCATCATGAAATCTCCTTTATCTAGAGAATTATGCAAATCAGAGAGTAAGCGATCCGTGCAGTTAGCTTAAGTTGATATAAAGCTCATCGTTTATTCTCCACAGATTCAATTGGCAGAGTTTGATTATTAATGCAATAAAGATATGTCGCTTTTAAGATTTTCATATTTTTCGAGAAACATACTTAATATAATAAAAAAATGTTATGTTATCCAAATTCTTTTCTCCGAATATTAAACTCTTAAATAGCAAGTAGTCGTCAGATGATGAAACAGTGAAGCGATATATCACATAAAGCGACGTTTTCATAAAATCCGAACGCCGGGATTGCTCACTCGCGCGAAAGCCAATTGAAATTTATTAAGTCGCAAGAATACAAACGATGGAATTTGCTCGATGAATGCGAAAACGCTGTGCAGAATCTAGTCCTGATTATTGAGACGGAAGTCTCGCCCCTTATATTTCCTGCAGAATTGCGGAAAGCCGTTCTTAACCGGGATCAAGGAATAAAGGCAGTACGAGGGATACCTACATGCAGCCAAATCGTCGCCTAAAATCGAGCGGAGCGATAAAGGACGATAAAGATCGTCATCCGTTATCGGTATCGGTAAAATCAGCGCGATCGGCTGATTATGACGAAGAAGAACAAAGTCGGAAGCGAAAGGCGGCGCGACGCGTTGGCTTCGATTTCATATGAATGATCGGGCGATTTCATCGAACGTACACCGATGCATATCGATGAAGCGAAAGCGATAGAGAGCGAGAGCTTCGGAGGGAAAGCAATAAAAATGTAACGCATGGCGAGACTGGATTTCGCATTCGAGAACGAGAACGGTGTGTCGCACAGATGGTAGTTATTATGGGGAGAGCGACGAGATCTCGAAGCGACGCGACAATTGAATTGACGACGGTGACACCGGCAAATATTTTCATATCGCAGAAATCACAGACGAGTGAAATTCATAATCGACAGGATCGGACGTGCGAAAGATTCAAGACGTTGGGATTCGAAATAAATATCATTCGAATGTATTACGTTAAAACGAAATTTTAATGACAAAATTAGATTAAAAGATTTCCAGACTGTTAACATAAAAGATCAATGTGAAATTGCGTTAAAATAGTTTCGCATTCTTCCGCCGGAAATCTGTTATTTCAATAGGAAATTGCTTTAGTGCGAGTGAATGAACTAGCTTCCGTAAGCAAGAATTAAACATTAAAGATAAGAGAGGTAACTTTACCGTGAAAATTGTTCATATTATCGAATTTTTTTTTAAAACTAGGCACGTGTAAGTTTTATCACACGATTACGAAAGCAACGGTCTCGAACGATAAAATCCTCTTCGTTTATTCATATTCCGCCGTTAAAGGAACTTCTTCGGAAATAGGAAGGAAAGGAGAGAATCGATATAGATATACAACAAAAGTATTGCGGTGTGAATAAGTCAAGAATGAACGAGCAGACACGCCGCCCTTTTATTCGGATGTATCTGAAGGGGAATAACCGCTGACAAATCGATTCTCGCAGCCGATACCATACACGATTGGGACGAACGTCGCGTGTAGGGTGTGTTTTCCCGCGCACGTGGGCAGGAAGAAAAAGGAAGCTAGATGGGAAACGAGAATAGCCTTATCGCTAATAAATAAATCATGCAGCGCTACAATTCGTGCGAGTTTCGGTCGACCTTCGAACTTTCAAACTTGAAATCATTTACGAACGCGAAGGTGAGACAATTCTGGCTTCAAGAGAAATTGTGTATACTCGTATATAGTACGAACACGAACCGTGAAGAAATAATATTTTTTCGCTTTACTACTCTTGCAACTTTCCATTGATATTGTGTTTTCGCGTAACTTTATAATCACATTTAGGTCTGTCCAATTTTTCTCTTTGACTTGTTTTTTGCGTAACTTGGTGCCTTCGATCGGCGATAGATTGTAGAGAGAGAGAAAAAGAGTAGATGCACAATGTGTATTGAAAAAAAATTGCGAATTCTCTCTCTCGTTTCTATCTATAAATTTGAAACGATATTTTAACAGTCAAAATTTGATTTTGTGGTTTCTATTATTCGTATGTGAAATATCTATGAGGCACGGAAATTCTGTTACATTCTGACTGCTCCATGAATCTCTAAATCGTAAGATCAAATATGTAATATTATTCCCGTAGATTAATTCGATATTGAATTAATTCGATATCGAGTATACTCGAATGCAATGATGAGATACCTAAGAAAAGCGGCCGGTTTCCGATGCATCCTGCGCGTATAATTCGGATAAACGAACGATATCGTCGGTAAACAGAATCCTCGCAAGATACATCCCAATTATAAACACAAATCACTATTCCAAAGTTAGGCATCAGGTCAGCCGCGCTATAGACAAACAGTAACATCCTGTTCGATCTCTACGCTCATTAGCACCGACCGTTGTGCATCGGTAAACCGGAACCTCTGTGTTATCCCACTATCTATCTATCTATCTATCTACCTATCTATCTATCTATCTCCCTCTGTGTACATCTCTTTACGACGATCGATTGGCGAAACATGCGTATGTAGTGTGTCGGCAACTTCCTCCGAAGAGCGTGCTCTGTCGACCAGCGTCTCGACGCCGCGCCGGACGACGCTAGGGACTTGCAGCGCAAACTCGGCAACAAGTTGCATTTAAAATCCGCATCCGGCGTCTGTAGGAGTAGTTGCACGGCAGTTTCGTCTCTTTTCTTCTCCTCCCGTTCGCCTCCTCTTCGTCCACCGTTGCTACCGGAAACTCCGTCAAATCGCCGAGTATTCTCGACTGATTCGGGCTATTCAGACAAGAGCTCGCCCGAGATTCTCTCGTCCGCTCGGCCCCAGGATTATTCCTGAAATTCGTTATAAATTCATTCGAGTGTACTACGCGGGTCGTATTGCATTCGAGACTGCCTTGACAACCTTCTCACTCTCTTGACAGCTAGTAATTATTAATCGGATTAGCTCGCTCGTTTTAGGAGGAAGGAGAACGGAGAAGAAACGTGGATATTGGTTATTCGTCTATATTTTTGGGAGAGTCGCGACGTTGTCTACTTTATTCATACGCTCTAGCAATTTTTATACGCGCTCATTAATTCAGCTCTGCATTTACGGTAAGCCGACCGTTTAGAAGCGCACCGTTTTCTTTGCAAACGTGAATTAAAAGGCGTTGCACTTTGACTTACGACTTCTTGCGACGAGAAAATCCAGTTAAGGAGCGGGCCACGTGGAATTACCGGAATTTCTCGACCGAAAGCTTCGAAGATGAAGAGCACTCGACTCGCTACTGAACGAGCGCTTTTAGCACCTTATAGGTAAAATAAAGAGAAAGGATAGAAAGGGAATGTTCAATTGCGAAAAATTTCTAACGGTGTAAAAAGGAGAACGTCATGCGGATGAACCAGTCTCGACAAAAGTGCTCTAGAACGGTGAAAAAAAAAAAAATATCGATAGTGTCGATCCGATACTAGGATTAGGTTCCCTCAGGAATTTCGCGTTTTCGACCGATCGAAATATTTTCAGGATATACAAAGACAAAGGAACACGTCGCGATTCGCGAGCAAAGTCGTGAGTAAACGTGTAAGGGGGTCGCCGTTATATAACTGCGTACATGGTTCTTCCACGGGCCGGACGCACAATGAAAACACAATAACCTGCGGCAATCATTAAATTTAATTGACAGTGGAATAACGAAGAACCTCGTCGGTAATTAAGACCATCGTGATGGGCATTCTCGCGCGTGCCTGACGAGCGCGCCTCTTTTTCCTCTCTTTTCCCTTTCCCTTTCGCTATCAGTTTTGCAATTGTCTCTATGGTGGGTGTTTGTTCGCGACTCTTTCTCGCTTGAACAGACCGTGCTGCGAACGCGCCTCCGAAATATAACGCACCATTGATAACGATTAAATTCTCGTACAGCGGTTGGAAGTTTTGTGTAAATGGAAAAACGCGGTGATATTGCCTTTTTTAATAAGAGAGATTAACTATTTTTAAAAGAGGAAAATTATTATAAAATTAAAAAGTAAAAAGTATATATTTAATTATTAAAAACTTTTATTAAGAGAGAACAAAAAGTATTGGTTTTTTATTCTACATTTATAAATAATTTTGGTCGAATGAACGGACTTCAGATAATTACATCAGTGAGATCGATAAATCAAAATTACGAGAGAAGGGTAGAAAGAGATAGTTAATCTTTCAATAATTGACGTAACCTGGTGGGAGGTGTTCGAGGAACGCTACCCGCCCTGTCTACACTATGCGAATACTTTTGTTCTTCTCGTTCTTATTATTACGCGACGTCTCTCTTTCTCTGACACCAGGAAGAAGAGAATTGTCGGCAAGATCGTCGTCGATCGCCGAAGAAGCTGGGTGATAATTACGAGTCGAATTCATGGACCGTCGAGCGATGGATTTTGTGTTGCTACTACTCGTGATGCTGCTGAAGCAAGAGGGTGAGTGCTTTCACTTATGATGAGTTGCGATCGTACGGATGCACCCTGTCCCGATTCCCCAAGCGTGCAATGTCCTTTCTCTCGCTGCTACATCCGCTTTAAAGGATAAGCACGGGCCTTCCCTTCTTTTCTCTACGATTTTCTTTTTTATTCGCCGCTAAGGATGCTAACTACTGCACTGTATTTTAAGCACGCGCTTCGAAAGAGCCACAAAGACTGCGAAAGGCCACTCACGAAAATCGATCTCGCTCGTAAAAATCTCTTAAGTGCTGGAACCGTGATAAAAATTCGATTGTGTTATATGTTATATATATTTTAAAATCCTTCATCGAGCTATCCATAATGTGTATAGATTATTAAACAGGTATATAGAATATATACGAAGACAATAAATATAGAGATATTGTCCTCTTTTTTAATTTTTTTATAAATTATTGTGTCACTTTGTAGAGATCCAACGGATTCTACGATATTTATATTCATATCTACACCACAATATGTTATGTTTATTCAAATTTAATTATGATAATCAAGAATTAATATAGGATAATTTCTGAAACATACTATATTTGTGTATATTTGGATATATATAATACATACATGTATACTAGCATTTATACATACGTATATACATATATTTTCATATTGATATAAGCATATTCATATTACGTTCATATTACATTATAGCAATTATTCTTGATTCATATAATGTTATAATGATACAATTTTTTTTTAATTAATTGAATTATGAATTATTATATTTTAATTAATTGAATAAACTTGCGATGGTTTTTCGATCAAAAAATGGAATAATAATTTTTACAATATTAATAATTAAAAACTATTAAAATTCTCATCGATACAAAGCGAGATATAATTAAATATGGACGTGAGTAAATACAGTATATGAAACACAACTACGTACCGCAATAATTCATAATTCATAATTCACAATTACGTGAAATAATCCGGCGCGGATAGAATTGCAATCGAAAGGGTTAGTTTTCATCGAGATGCGCGGCTATCACATCGCAAATGAAACATCGTTGTTGAAATTATTACTTGCAACAGTCTGCTTACTTACAACAGCTTACTTATTTTTAGCTATTATTTGTAATATTAATTCAATTTTTTTTCGCAAATCAAACAAATAAACTTGGAACCGATAAAACACTAATACAGTGCTCGAAACGCGCATGTCAAAAGTGACGTTTGTTAAACGGATACCGTAACATTAACGATCACGTAACTACAAATTATAAACCCCAGACTTGATACAGAACGCCAATCAGGGTAGTAGACGGTAGTTTCGCTTTCCTCGCGACCCGTCTTTAACAGCCAGGGATTCAAGAGTTGATTGTCGTCGTTACCCCTCCGGCAAAGATATATATATATATATATATATATGTATAGTTCAATGGATCTATCATGAAGACCATAACAGCCAAAGATGCGTACGGCGCAGACGGTGTATAACTCATAGGGGTTCTCAAACTTTAATATCTCGACCTCGCCGTGCCGCAAGATGCATAAATTTATTTAAAGCTTTCTGCGTTCTCACAGCGGCGCATAATTCGGTACGCGATAAAGTGCAAGTTTTATTACGCATAGCGGGATAAAAACGCTCTGAAAACGACCAGTGCGATAATAAGAACACGCTTAACTCGTATAATTTGCAACAGAAATAGTATTTGAAGTTAACGTTTTTTTTTACGAATTCCCTCTCCCGAGACGTGCATTTCAATGTGCATATTTTTTCTTATTTAGATACACTTGGGTATATGTATACATTTTTAATGCACACAAAATGACATTTAAACTTAAAAATTTTGATTTAGCAAAGAGAGAAAAGAGTACACATTTTTATATGCTAAAACATATATTACTAAAAGTTTAATGAAAATTTTTTTACGCGTCTTAAATGTTTTAAACTTTTTTGCAATTAATATTCTCTATTGTTTAAGAATGAAATACGAGGTTTATTAAGCTTTTTAAAGTATTTTTTGTTAACGGAAAATAGAATTAGAGAATATTACTATTAGAACGCTTATATCGAGAACCACTGACTTGTATATAGTGTACGAAGGCTGGCTACAAGCTCGTCTCTACACCAAAGTTTCCTCTCTGTCGGTCTATACCGAAGTATCTGATAGCTCTTGCAATTTCCAAATGGCCGTTTTCCATCTCACTCATGCAATTTTTTCGATGATCTCGTCTCTTTTTTTCCATTCTCGGTTTCGGTCCTCAATTTGAATAGTCCGACGAGGGTGGAAAGCGTTAAGAACGGTCATCCGCACTCGTTTTTAAGGAGCAAGGCACGAAAGGAACGATTTAAAAATGACGCTCTTTCTAATTACGTTTCGTCGTTCCTTCCTAGTTATCACGGCAAGGGTGCATGCAGTGTAAAAGAGATAGAAGTCAAACGAGGGTAGATAAGGAGCTTGAAGAGAGTAAGAGCTAGAGGGAGAAAGACGAGGGTTGCGCGCTGAGTAAGAGAGCAGAATGCGGGATAGCTGGGATTTATTACGTTCCGGTAGGTGGGCGAGGGAGAGAGGTGACGAGGAAGCGAGCGTTACGGAATAAAAATCTCGCGTTAAGGCAGGGCAAATGGTGTAAAAGTCAAAATTAAATGGGCGGAGACGAAACGAGCGCGGGAGCAGTTAAAAGGTTACGATCGGCAAGAGATTAAGTAACCGCGAATACGAAGATGCGCTTACGCTTATATATCAACTGCCGGTGAATATCTATAGGGTTCACTTTCTTGGATTTTACTTCCGTCACGTCAGCTCGTGAAATAACGGTTATGAAAGCTCGCGATAGTAAAGTTTGACGTATACGTCTCGCGAGTGAAGAAAATCAAATATAATACAAACGTCAACAGATAATAATAAGAATTGTAGTAAAATTAAAAAAAAAAAACGTATGTAGATCAAATATATATATTAATATGAATGTATTTATTATTAGGATTATTTTTATATGATAAAGAAATTAATTGATGACGAACAAATTAGAGAAATGAGCACCTAATGTTCGAGCCATCAAGTGGAAATAATTTAGTTCATTATTTTGAATTATGAAATCTTATTTTTTATTGACAATTTTCATGATTGACAGTGAAAGCTATATCAAAATAAGATTAAAAATTAATCGGCGATATGGAAAACACGATACGAGAAATACGATACGATGAAATAAATAAGAAGCTGTTACATTCTTTTTTGGAAATCATAAAGAGAACTTTCTTTATATCGACTGTATCTTTGACAGGAAATGAAAAACATTTCTAGCAAAAAGAATAAAATGCATTGCCTTATACATATCAATAGAGCCTGTGTGTATCACAATGTATTTCGATATGAAATTTTAAAACCATGAACTTGAATATCATATATACAATATATAAATATACACATAAAATAGATGCCTGCGGGGTAAGTTAACATGAATAAAAGTAAATTTGTCTCGAACATATCGGCAACGAACTTTTTTTTTTTCTAATAAATTGTTCGCGAGGATTGCAAACTAGTCGTTTAACTAGATAACAAAAAGAATGCAGGCAATGTGACTAAAACATTTAAAAAATTTAGCAGCATTTATCGTATATTTTATATGTATTTTATGTTTATATATATATATTCTGAAAAATTATAATATCTATCAGACACATGATTAAAGTCACATTTGCGAGGAATTATATTTTTTTATTCACAAAGAAAAATAAACGCAAATTTTGCTTTCATTTATTTAGAACAATTTTTTATTTCGAAAATATTAAACATTATTTTTTTAAATATGTTATTTTATTATATCTTTCATTTTGAATGTCTTACTCATTATCACATTTTTCTATCTTACTAACATATTCTTTATAACTATTTCTGCAAGTGTATTTTCCATTTAATTTTTTTGCCATAACGTCAATTTTTTATCATTTATTTTTAAAATTGGTATATATGTATCTTTTATTATTTTCAAAAATTCGAAATATAATGACAATAACGAGTACGAAACGAGAGTTAATAATTTTGTATATATTTGCATTTTCAGAGAATTATCGAGAGGTAATTAAATTTGGTAATTAAATTTCCTATAGGCAATTTGTTTTTGTCTTGTTTGCTTGGCCTCGAGGCTTTTGGATATGTGACACCGCGCGCGTGTGCAAACGCGCGAGCTAGTACACAAAGTTCTCCGATTCACGACGAATAGCTCATTAAAGAGATACGAAATATGGTACGAAATTCGTCGCAATGCATAGCAAAGCTGGAGGATCCTCGAGCACTACTTGTAACGTCATAATATCACATGTACTATTTCGATTATAACATACAAGTGGCAACGCGAAGGAACAAACGAAGATTAAATAACAAATGACAACCAGGAAATTATTCGAGAGCGAGATTATTTCAACGACTCTTGGCATCTACCATATCTTGAAAATTATCATGGTAATCGCAAAACTACAAAATCAGTAATCTAAGCTATTGAAAGTCATTTTGATGCTAACAGGCGTGTTTGCGGAGAAAAGAAAGAGGGACGCGAATTAAGCGATTGTTGCGTTCACTTTATAAAGTGCATCGATCAAGTCTGACGAATTGAAAACTCGAAAACCGAAAATTGGCAGCTGATTTGAAGGAGAAGAAAATACAACGAGATGCGCTCCGGGGTATTCCGGCGGCATTTCGCTCACAATATCGTATGCATTTTCGCGTCCCCCGATGTAATAAAGCTGAAATGCGCGAAACTTAATTTCCCGTCCCTCGGCGCGGAGGTTGTTGGAATTTGAATTTTTCCGCACGGTCTCGTATTCATGTAGCGAGAAACGTTCGGTTTTTCAGAGAAAAGCACGTGAGCGTATAAAAATGTCGCGGAGTGTGAAAAGCACGAGCGGAAGTATTTCCGATGCAAAAATCCATGCCTCTTGTCGAGCTTCCGCGGGTTTTCACGTTAATAGGTAACTCCTTCATGATAAAAATATGTCAAAGGAGCGGAATTGCCGA